AGTATTAATATTACAGAAACATTTGATTACAGTTAAAGCCCCACATGTGTATATGCAGTCCCCCAGATAATTTCACAATAATATTCCTGACACATGCAATACATGCATATGACCATCCTGTGTAACTAACCATAGCTTTTTTTGTTATGATTCCATCCTGGAAAAAATAGGCAGGGAGAGAAGACATCAAACTAGCGAAGAATGAAAAATGTGGCCTGTGGCATTCAGAAAATAGCCTATGACTGCATACAGAGTTGGCATCATGATCTAATTTCAATATACATCTACGTTCTAAAGTGTTTACATTTATATTATTACATTTACTCAAATTACATAAAGACGTAGATTTCAAGTTCAATAATATTTATATTTGTCTTATCCCACATTTAATTTACCATATGCATTTCACTGTTCACACATGATATCATTTTCTGTCCATTTTCTAGCTACCTGCCTATCTTACTTCATATTTATTTTCTATCCTTCTCTATTTGCCTGCCTCTCTGTCCCAATAGTTTGGGAAGATCCTTTATTCTATCATGTCTGCCAAGATGCTGTCATCTTCTTCAACGTCCACTTTGATCTTCTTGCCCACGAGCTGCTGCATATGTTCTGGAGGGATACCCTTTGGCTCACCAACCTTCACTGCAAACATGTCCAGGCTCAGCACTGTTGCTTTAGGGATTTTCACCTTAGCAATGACTGACTTGCCCAACTGGAGTAGAAAAAGAATAGAAATACATAAAAGATGTATTTTAATCCAGCTCATGTACGTTTTGCAAATTTGCACAGTTATGGATGTTCAGTGAACTGAAGAGGGTGGAAGTAAACACAGTTAACAATGACTGGTTTGATAGTGTTATGACATGGTAGAATTTCAAAACTCAAGTCAAATGACTCAAACTGACCTTATCATGGCAGGTCTTCTCGCATGGTAACATTTGCTTGACTGGTGACCCCATTGCTGTTTCCACCAGTCGTATTGCTCGGACCAGTTCTGCCAGCTCAGAGGGCTCCAGGGATGCCTCATGGTCATTTCCCTTCCAGGTCTTATCCAGGGTCACATGGCGTTCCACAACTTTTGCTCCCATCGCCACGGCAGCCACAGTGATGTAGATCCCTTTCTCATGACCAGAATATCCAATTGGAACATCTGGAAATTCCTCCTGGTATTTCTTTAAAAAAAAGAAGTAGAAAATAAAAAAGCCTATAGTATTATTGTCTGCTGCACGCACTGCCTCTTTGTGTACCTGTAACTGTCATACAATACAATGCTAAGACATACCCAAACAATTTAATTTAAAATCTAAACACAAGTCTGAGTATATTACAGTCAAATGAGTTGTACTGCCCAACACAATCACGGGTTTTCATTGACAGGTGTCTTCTCTCCAGAATCAGCATCTACTTTGTGATTGTGTAATATGACACTGTAAAATCATGTAACATTTAGGGGCTGGATTTGAAAGTAATTGTTTAGCTAGCTGTTGTGTACTATAAAACCGCTAATGTTTATAGTAATGTGCCATTTGCAGTGCACTGGCAGTTTGTATTCTCTGTATACTACTGCAATGAAGCTTTCATTCATGATATATGTTAATCATTAGATTCTAAGTATATGTGAACACAAAGGACAGATAGGAATTGAATTTAGACTAGTTTATGTTGATCTGATTAGAGCAAATCCTTGACTCTTGGAGTAAACAAAATAGTATCTGCTGAACCTATTTCCCACTTCAAATCTATAACTAATAAAAAGCTAATATAGCTGATACAATCATATGTAAAAACAATATAAAAATATTTTCTCGTACATTTCATGTAGTTTTTGGCATATTGATTATTTCACCACATTTTACCCAGAGGAGATGATGATGATGATGTTCATTCATCTTACCCTGATCACACTAAGGTTGACCTCTTTAGGATCCAGAGGGTAGGCGCTGGTGCACTGCAGGAGAGTAAATTTCTGGTTGTGCTCCTTTACTGTCTTGTAGACACGGCGTATGGTTTCCATGGACTGCATCCCAGTGGATACCACCATTGGTCGCCCTGACAATGATAGATTTGTATATATGTAACCCAACAGACTTATTAATAAATGTAGTTAATATTTTAAGCAATAAATAAATCATATTAATAATTGTTTTATTATAGGTAAATAATTACACATAATTAATTCATATTTAAAATGTATTATGTCATTATTTTTATACTCCCACTGGATTTATACAGCTGCATGTTGAAATAGTCTGCAATACAAACAGCAAACAAACTTCCATTCACAGC